ATTGAAGCTGGCGGTGTTGTGCAACCAGGACTTGCGACAACAGCTGGTTCGCGAACGGGGCCGGTTGACAATTGAAAGGAGAATTGGAACTGTTCAAATAATGTTAAACGCACAATTAACACAGTGAAAAGAACAATGAAAAATGGGTGGATAACTAACCGGTGGAACGGCAGAAGTTGTGGGTGCTTCATTGCGACAGGTTTTTTTTTTTTTTTTATTAGAAGAGACTGGACAGTCGGTTTGTCTGAAACGGTACAGGGTCTCCTGCTGGAGCAGGGGGTTGGACTAGATGACCGCCAAGGTTCCTTCCAAATCTCATTCTATGATTCTGTAAGGGTCTCCTGCTTGAGCAGGGGGTTGGACTAGATGACCTCCCAGGTTCCTCCCATCTCTGTTATTCTATGATTCTGTCAGGGTCTCCTGCTTGAGCAGGGGGTTAGACTAGATGACTGCCAAGGTCCCTCCCAACTCGGTTATTCTGCCAGGGCCTCCTGCCTGAGCAGGGGGTTGGACTAGATGACCTCCAAAATCCCTCCCAACTCTGTTATTCTGCCAGGGTCTCCTGCCTGAGCAGGGGGTTGGACTAGATGACCGCCAAGGTCCCTCCCAACTCTGTTATTCTGCCAGGGCCTCCTGCCTGAGCAGGGGGTTGGACTAGATGACCGCCAAGGTCCCTCCCAACTCTGTTATTCTGCCAGGGCCTCCTGCCTGAGCAGGGGGTTGGACTAGATGACCTCCAAGGTCTCTCCCAACTCTGTTATTCTGCCAGGGTCTCCTGCCTGAGCAGGGGGTTGGACTAGATGACCGCCAAGGTCCCTCCCAACTCTGTTATTCTGTCAGGGTCTCCTGCTTGAGCAGGGGGTTGGGCTAGATGACCGCCAAGGTCCCTCCCAACTCTGTTATTCTGTCAGGGTCTTCTGCCTGAGTAGGGAGTTGGACTAGATGACCTCCAAGGTCCCTCCCAACTCTGTTATTCTGCCAGGGTCTCCTGTCTGAGCAGGGGGTCGGACTAGATGACCTCCAAGATTCCTTCCAACTCGGTTATTCTGTGATTCTGTAAGGGTCTCCTGGTTGAGCAGGGGGTTGGACTAGATGACCTCCAAGGTCCCTCCCAACTCTGTTCTGCAAGGATCTCCTGCCTGAACAGGGGGTTGGACTAGATGACCTCCAAGGTCCCTCCCAACTCTGTTCTGCAAGGATCTCCTGCCTGAACAGGGGGCTGGACTAGATGACCTCCAAGGTCCCTTCCAGCTCTCTTCTGCTTTTGCTTCCTCCCTTTTTTTCCCCCTTTTTCGCCCGTTCCATCCCCAGGAATTTGCCCAGCCCTTTAGAATCGGCTAAAAACGCCTTTCGTTTGGATTTCCCCATAGTGGGAACACAACGGACAGGCCGTTGTGGTTGTCGGATTGCGTGTCAACCCTGCCACGGCGTGTCGAAAGCTTTTTCGGCCGCCCTCTTGGTTTTCGACACGGTCCCTAACAGGAGGGCCCTTTTCACCTGCAGCCAAATGATTGAAAAAATAAAAATAGAAATACAAAAGTTCAGAAGATCCCCACGCCGGAATCTAGTCTGGGAATCCTCGACCGGTTTAGCGACCGTTCACAGTTGCGTTGAGGAAAAAAAAGGGACACGGGACTGCTTTTCACACCTGTGCCAATTGTGACGGGGGTCAAAATTCAGACCCGTGGCGACTGACGCACATTTGACGCCTTGGGGACTTCAACTCCCAGAATGCCTCAGCCAGCGTGCCTGGCTGAGGCATTCTGGGAGTTGAAGTCCCCAAGTCATAAAACAGCCCAGTTGGAAGACCCCCTGTCTTAAAGCATCCTGGCTGAGGAATTCTGGGAGTTGAAGTCCACCAGTCATCAAAGGGCCAAGTTGTAAGACCCCTGGTCTGGATCCAACCCGCAGTTTCATCAAAATGGCCGACTGAGGCATTCTGGGAGTTGAAGTCCCCAAGTCACAAAAGGGCCCAGTTTGAAGACCCCCCTGTCTTAAAGCATCCTGGCTGAGGCATTCTGGGAGTTGAAGTCCACCAGTCAAAAGAGGGCCCAGTTTGAAGTCCCCTGCCTTAAAGCATCCTGGCTGAGGAATTCTGGGAGTTGAAGTCCACGAGTTATAAAAGTGCCCAGATTGAAGACCCCTGGCTTAAAGCATCCCGGCTGAGGCATTCTGGGAGTTGAAGTCCACCAGTCACAAAAGGGCCCAGTTTGAAACCCCCTGTCTTAAAGCATCCTGGCTGAGGGATTCTGGGAGTTGAAGTCCACCAGTCACAAAAGGGCCCAGTTTGAAACCCCCTGTCTTAAAGCGTCCTGGCTGAGGCATTCTGGGAGTTGAAGTCCCCAAGTCACAAAAGGGCCCAGTTGGAAGACCCCCTGTCTTAAAGCGTCCTGGCTGAGGCATTCTGGGAGTTGAAGTCCACCAGTCATCAAAGGGCCAAGTTGTAAGACCCCTGGTTTGGATCCAACCCGCAGTTTCATCAAAATGGCCTACTGAGGCATTCTGGGAGTTGAAGTCCCCAAGTCATAAAACGGCCCAGTTTGAAGACCCCCTGTCTTAAAGCATCCTGGCTGAGGCATTCTGGGAGTTGAAGTCCACCAGTCACAAAAGGGCTCAGTTTGAAGATCCCTGTCTTAAAGCATCCTGGCTGAGGAATTCTGGGAGTTGAAGTCCACAAGTCATCAAAGGGCCCAATTTGAAGACCCTGTCTTAAAGCATCCTGGCTGAGGAATTCTGGGAGTTGAAGTCCCCCAGTCACACAAGGGCCAAGTTTGAAGACCCCCTATCTTAAAGCATCCTGGCTTTAAGTCGTAAAATGGGGGCAACGCTCACTTCACCGAGGTTTCGCTTAGCAAACGGAGATGTTGGGGCTCAATGGGGGTCGTAACTGGAGGACTCCCAAGAAAGTTAGTATTGAATGTGGGTTCTCGCTTCAAGTCGAGGTGCTTAGACGATACGCCCTTAAACCTCAAGCAGGCACGGTGCAAACGGACGAAAGCTGGTGATGCAACCGAAAAGCAGAAGTTGCGGTAGCTTCTGGTGTCTTGTTTCAACAGCTTGCCAAGCCATAGATAGATAGACAGACAGACGACAGACAGAAGACAAATAATAGATCGATAGATATATGGGAAGATCGATATTGATACATAGACAGACAGACAGATAATATGATAGGTAGGTAGGTAGACACGTAGATACATTGATATGGATGGATGGACAGATAGTCAGAGACGGATAGAGATAGATATACAAAGACAGATCAGATAGAAAATAGATGATAGATAGGCAGATAGATAGATGGATGGATGGATGGATGGATGGATGGATAGATACATAGATACATAGATACATAGATACATAGATACATAGATACATAGATACATAGATACATAGATAAATAGATAAATAGATAAATAGACATTGATGGACGGATGGACAGATAGTCAAACAGATGGAGATAGATATACAAAGACAGATGAGATAGAAAATAGATGATAAATAGTCAGATAGATAGATGGATAAATGGATAGATAGATAAATACATAGATAAATAGACATGGATGGACGGACAGATAGTCAAACAGATGGAGATAGATATACAAAGACAGATGAGATAGAAAATAGATAATAGAGAGATAGGTCTGATAGGACTGATAGACAGACAGACAGATAAATAATAGATCGATATATATGGGAAGATAGATATTGATACATAGATGATAGAGATAGATAGACAATCAGATAGAGAGAATATGATAGATATAGATAGACTGACACAGACAAACAGACACAGACAGACATAAATAATAGATTGATAGATTTATAGGAAGATATTGATAGATAGATAGATAGATAGATAGATAGATAGATAGATAGATAATAGGATAGGTATGTAGATACATAGATACATAGATATGGATGGATGGACATAGAGACAGAGATAGATATACAAAGACAGATGAGATAAAAAATAGATGATAGGCAGAGAGAGAGAGAATGATGATGGATGGATGGATAGATAGACAGATAGATAGATATAGATAAATATGGATAGACAGATAGAGATAGATATGGATAGATAGAGATAAATAGATAGATATGGATGGATAGATAGATAAATAGATATGGGCAGACATGGTCAAACAGACATAGATATTTATTGATTAGAGAGAGATTGGTAGCTGTATAGATATGAGAGAGAGATGGATGGACAGACAGACAGACCGAGATAGATAGAGAGGCAGACAGATAGATACGGATGGATGGATGGACATATAGACAGACAGACAGGTCAAACAGACAGAGACAGACAGACGGACAGCTCTTGGTGGGAAAAAAATAGCATTTCCCACCGGCAGCCAGAAAATGCGAGGATTTTGCCGAAATGGCGGGTGGCCTTCCTGTGGGTTTTCGAGTCAAAGCCACTTTCGGACAGGACTCCGTGGCTTGATTAAGAAGCCAACATAGTTATGGAGACTGTGTGGGTCCCTGGTGCTCTCTGAGCTGGGGGGTTTTTCCTTGCAGACGTTTCGTGACCCAACTAGGGAACGCCATCAGTGTTAGGGAGGAGGAGGAGGAACACTGCGGGGTCCAGGGTGCCCTCCGAGGTGGGTGATTTTCTTGCAGACGTTTCATGACCCAACTCAGTAACAGCATCAGTGCTAGGAGGAGGAGGGTGGTGTCTGACCTGGGTGGTTTCCTTGCAGACGTTTCATGACCCAACTAGGGAACATCAACAGTGCTAGGAGAGAGAGGGGTTTGCAGGGAGGAGGAGGGGGAGGAGAGTAACAAGGACCCCACAGACCTCCTCCTCCTCCTCAACCCCCCTCCCTTGTAGCAGTGATGAAGTTACTTAGCTGGGTCATGAAAAGGCTGCGTTAATAAAATTAATAATATTATATATATATATAAGCCCTGACGTCTGCCGATATTCCCTTCCGACGCGTTGAGTTCCCTGCGCCGGTTTTCAACCCGCGCCGCCTTTCTGCTTTTACCTTCAGATCAACACTGAAGAAGGCGTGGACGAAAAAGACCCGGAGCCTGTCTCCTGGGACCGCATCATTCCCGAAGAGATCGCCAGACAGGTCAAGCCAAAGATGGTCCAGGCCGAGAGCGTCACCGTCTGGATCGACCCCTTGGATGCCACTCAGGAATACACAGGTCTCCTTTCTTTCAAATAACATATATATATAAGAACAAGAGGAAGGTCTGTTGGACAATCGAAAAGCACTGCTAGGGAAGCCGAGTTGGCAAAGAAAGCAAGCCAGAATAAGGCTGAAGAAAAATGGGGTTTTCACTTATTAGAGGGGATTTCATATTATGAATTAGAAAGGGTTAAAGGGAGAAGTGAAGAGAAGGGGAATTCTGGTGCTTACATTCAAAATCCTCGGAAATTGGTTGAAAATAAGGACTTTTATTTGTTTAAGATTTAAAAAAAATAGACCGAAAAGGGAAAAGACAATTATTTTGAATATGTTTGATTTATTGATTAACCTAGGTTTTATATATAAATGTATATATGTATATGTACGTATATATGAAATATATAATGGTTTTGATTTATTATAGGGGATATTGTATTATTAAGTACAATATCTGGTGGGAAATAGATAACTCTTAGGAAAGAGAACAAGATTATATTTAAATAACCATTTGTCCGAAATGGTATAGGGTTTCCTGTCTGAGCAGGGGGTTGGACTAGATGACCTCCAAGGTCCCTTCCAACTTTACTATTATTATTATAAATAGATAAATTGTGATCAAAATTCAGACGCTTGGAAACCGACTCATATTTCCAACGATCGCAGCGTCCTGGGGTCACGTGATCAAAATCCAGACGCTGGGCAACCGACTCGTATTTACGATGGTCACAGCGTCCCAAAGTCATGGGATTAAAATTCAGACGCTTGGAAACCGACTCGTAGTTAGGACAGTCACAGAGTCCCGAGGTCACATGATCAAAATCTAGACGCTTGGCAATCGATTCGTATTTATGACGGTCACAGCGTCCCAGAGTCACGTGATCCAAATTCAGACGCTCGGCAACCGACTCGTATTTACAACTGTCGCAGCGTCCCGGGGTCACGGGATCAAAATCCAGACGCTTGGAAACCGACTCGTAGTTAGGACGGTCGCAGCGTCCCGAGATCAGGTGATCAAAATCCAAATGCTTGACAACGGACTCGTAGTTAGGACAGACACAGCGTCCCGGGGTCACGTGATCAAAATTCAGACGCTCGGCAACCGACTCGTATTTACAACGGTCGCAGCGTCCCGGGATCACGTGATCAAAATCCAGACGCTTGGAAACCGACTCGTAGTTAGGACGGTCGCAGCGTTCCGGGGTCCCGTGATGAAAATCCAGACACTTGGCAACCGACTCGTAGTTAGGACGGTCGCAGCGTCCCGGGGCTTTGTGGTGGTGGGGAAGCGAGGACTATCGGCAAGGCCTTTTGTGTGTGTGTGTGTTTTTGTGTTTGCCTTGTCGCACCGGCATGAACGTCTCATGGGTTGTTGTTTTTTGTTCCTCCCTTTACCTATTTTAGAGAATCTGGTCCAGTACGTCACCACCATGGTTTGCGCGGCGGTGGACGGTAAACCAGTAATCGGAGTCATCCACAAGCCATTTTCTGAATATACCGGTAGGTGGCTCGTTTCCTTTTGACACAGCTGGGCGTTTCGACAATAACATTGCGTCATTCCACACTAGGGCGGGACGTGGCAGGAGGTGCGGGCAACGCAACTTCCAGGCGAAGGAGTGTTAAAAAAACCAACAACAACACGGAAGGATAGAATCCAGAACCTATCATTAAACACAGTTTTTTTTTAATTGCACAGAGTGCAACGGAAGAGAATATTGGTAGCTCAGGGTTGAACTGGGGACGGGAGGTCCTGGGTGCTCTCTGAGCTGGAGGGGGTTTCCTTGCAGACGTTTCAGGACCCAACGAGGGAACGTCATCAAGGCTAGGAGGGGGGTTTGTGAAGAGGAGAGGAAGGAAGAGGAGGAGGAGGAGGAAAAGGACCATATCTATCTTATCTATCTATCATCTAATATCTATCTCAATCAATCTAGCATCTATCATATCCTCTGTCTATGTCTGTCTGTCTATCTCATATTTTCTGTTTCTATCTGTATCAATCATATTCTCTGTCTGTCTATCATATTCTCTATCTATCTATCTAAATATCTATCTGTCATATTCTCTGGCTATATCTATCTAAATATCTAAATATCTGTCATATTCTCTGGCTATGTCTGGCTATCTATCATTTTCTGTTTCTGTCTGTCTGTCTCTATCATTCTGTTTCTGTCTATCTAATCTATTTATCTATCTATCTCTATCCATACATCCATATCTGTCTGTCTGTCTGTCTGTCTGTCTGTCTGTCTGTCTGTCTGTCTATCTATCTATCTATCATCTAATATCTATCTCATCTATCTCAATCAATCTATAATATTATCTATCTATCAATCATATTCTCTGTCTATGTCTCTGTCTATCTCATATTCTCTGTTTCTATCTATCATATTCTCGGTCTATATCTGTCTATCTCTGTTTCTATCTGTGTATATCTAAATATCTATCATATTCTCGGTCTATATCTGTCTATCTCATATTTTCTGTTTCTATGTGTATCAATCATATTCTGTTTCTATCTATCATATTCTCTATCTATCTATCATTCTCTGTTTCTGTCTGTTTATCATTCTCTGTTTCTGTCTGTCTGTCTGTCTATCTATCTATCTATCTATCTATCTATCTAAATATCTAAATATCTATCTATCTATCTAAATATCTAAATATCTAAATATCTGTCATATTCTCTGGCTATGTCTGGCTATCTATCATTTTCTGTTTCTGTCTGTCTCTATCATTCTGTCTCTATCATTCTTTCTGTCTATCTAATCTATCATATTCTCTATCATCTAATATCATCTATCTTATCTAAATCAATCAAACTAGCATCTATCTATAATATTCTCTGTCTATCTATCTGTCTATCATATTCTGTCTGTCTATCTCATATTCTGTTTGTATCTCCTTATCATATTCTCTCTATATCTGTCTGTATCTATCTCATTCTCTTTCTATCTGTCTATATATCTATCATATTCTCTGTCTATCTATCTGTCTATCATATTCTCTGTCTATGTCTGTCTGTCTATCTCATATTCTCTGTTTCTATCATCTATCTATCTATCATCTATCTATCTATCTATCTATCTATCTATCTATCTATCTATCTATCTATCTATCTATCTATCTATCTATCTTATTATCTGTTTCTATCTGTGTCTATATCTATCTAGCTATATCATATTCTCTCTCTCTCTCTCTCTCTCTCTCTCTCCATCCATCCATCCATCCATCCATCCATCCATCCCTTTCTCCCTCCCTCCCTCCTTCTCTCTGTGTCTGATTGGAAAGCCACGATAACCAACTAATCCCCCCGATCTGTCGATTTCTCTTTTCCAGCTTGGGCCATGGTGAGCGGAGGCTCCAACATCCAGCCGCGCCCTTCCTACAACGAGCAGACGCCCACCATCATCGTCTCGCGATCCCACGAAGGCGCCGTCAAGGAGGTGGCCTGGCAGAGCTTTGGGAATAAAACCGCCATCATTAACGCCGGCGGAGCCGGTGTGTGGGCGTACCTCGGCTTTGTTTTTTATTATTATTATCATTATTATCATTATTATTATTATTATTATTATTATTATTATTATTATTATTATTATTATTATTATTATTATTATTATTATTATTATTATTTTTCTCTCAATCTCAAAGGAAGGCTGTCCGTTGCTGCGCAATCTAGTGTTTCTTTTTTTAAAAAAAATATATATATATTATTTCTTCCCCCGACGGTATTTCTTCATTTTTTCCAAATGTTGTGGAAAAAGAAGTCTTGCTGCTGCTGTCACCGGCCAAAATCAAACCTAGACTTCGTCGATCGAGCTTTTTCTGGAGTTATGCCGAATTTAAAAAAATAAATAAAAAAAATTCAGGTTTGAAAATCTACAGGTTCCCCCCCCCCCAGCCTCTTTTCTAGCCGTTGTGTTGTTTTTGTCCGCTATCTCTTGGCTTTAACACCTGATAGTAAGGACCTGGCTTGTGATGACACTTCCAACATGTTTTTTTAAAAGATTTTTGCTCATTTGGCTGGTGGCAAGTGGCCATCTATTAAAAACATTTTGTATAAGTTTTCTTGATAAGAGGTGAACATTGTTAACTTATCATTTCTTGCCGTTTCTCTAAATCTATATTGTATTCAAAGTTCTTTTTCTATGTTATTGTTTCTTTCACTTGTTCATCTTCCATTTTCAAATTTAATAGAAAATAATAATAATAGTAGTAGTAATAGTAGTAGTAGTAGTAATAATAATAATAATATACATTTTTACTAATTTGGTGGCAAGTTGCCATCTATAAAACATTTTGTATAAGTTTTCTTGATAAGAGGTGGACATTGTTAATTTATCATTTCTCTAAATCTATATTATATCCCAAGTTCTTTGCCCATGTTATCATGGTGTCTTTCACTTGTTCATCTTCCATTTTCAAATTTAATAGAAAATAATAGTAATAGTAATAATAATAATAATAATAATAATTGTAATACTAATAATACTAATAATAGTAATAGCAATAATAATAATAATATTAATTGTAATAGTAATACTACTACTACTACTACTACTATTACTACTAATACTAATCATAATAATAATAATACATTTTTGCTAATTTGGCTGGTTGCAAGTTGCCATCTATAAAACATTTTGGTATAGGTTTTCTTGAGGTTGACATTGTTGACTTATCATTTCTTGCCATTTCTCTAAATCTACATTATATCCAAAGTTCTTTGCCCATGTTATCGTGGTGTCTTTCACTTGTTCATCTTCCATTTTCAAATTTAATAGAAAATAATAATAATAATAATAATAATAATAGTAGTAGTAGTAGTAATAGTAGTAGTAGTAATAATAATAATAATAATAATAATAATGATAATAATAATAATAATAATACATTTTTGCTAATTTGGCTGGTGGCAATAATAATGTTGGAAGGGACTTTGGAGGTCGTCTATATTATACATTTTAATAACAATAATAATAACAATAACAAAACCAACAACAATAATAATAATAATAATAATAATACATTTTTGCTAATTTGGCTGGTGGCAAGTTGCCATCTATATTTTGTATACGTTTTCTTGGTAAGAGGTGGACACTGTTAATTTATCATTTCTTGCCATTTCTCTAAATCTACATTATATCCAAAGTTCTTTGCCTATGTTATCGTGTTGTCTTTCACTTGTTCATCTTCCATTTTCAAATTTAATAGAAAATAATAATAATAGTAGTAGTAGTAGTAGTAGTAGTAGTAGTAGTAATACATTTTTGCTAATTTGGCTGGTGGCAATAATAATGTTGGAAGGGACTTTGGAGGTCGTCTATATTATACATTTTAATAACAACAGTAATAACAACAACAATTTATTGAATAAATTCAATAAATAATAACAACAAAACAACAACAACAACAACAACAACAACAACAACAATAATAATAATAATAATAATAATAATAGTACATTTTTGCTAATTTGGCTGGTGGCAAGTTGCCATCTATATTTTGTATACGTTTTCTTGATAAGAGGTGGACACTGTTAATTTATCATTTCTTGCCATTTCTCTAAATCTACATTATATCCAAAGTTCTTTGCCCATGTTGTCGTGGTGTCTTTCACTTGTTCCTCTTCCATTTTCAGATTTAATAGAAATTATTATTAATTATTGTCATTGTTATTAACAATAACAACAACAACAAAACAACAACAAACAATAATAATAATAATAATAATAATAATAATAATAATAATAATAATAATAATAATAATGGAAGGGACTTTGGAGGTCATCTACATTATACATTTTCCTAATCAGTTTTACATCAGGGGTTAATAATCTCCGATCCGACCAAACCTGCTCTTTATAAACTCCATACGATTTAACATCTTTTTATCCTATCTCCCGCCCGTCGTTAAATGCGACCCACCGTGATAAATCAACACCCTGATTTTCCATCTCTTATTTTTTTTCTCTTCCCCTTTCTTTCTTTCTTTCTTTCTTTCTTTCTTTCTTTCTTTCTTTCTTTCTTTTCTTTTCTTTTCTTTTCTTTTCTTTTCTTTTCTTTCTTTCTTTCTTTTTTCCCCAGGGTATAAAGTATTATCTCTCCTGGACGTGCCGGAAGCCCACCAGGAGCGAGCCGACATCTACATCCACGTGACCTACATCAAAAAATGGGACATTTGCGCCGGCAACGCCGTGCTGAAGGCCCTGGGGGGACACATGACCACCTTAGCCGGGGAGGAGATCACGTACACCGGCTCGGACGCGAACGAGGACGGCCTGATCGCCAGCGTTCAGATGGACCACCAGACGCTGGTGGAAAAACTCCCGGGTCTCGCCAAAAACTCGCGAAACTGACCTCCCGTTTTCCGAAGGGGTTTAGGGGAGGAAAACAAAACAAAACAAAAGAAAGGTACAACAAATCCCTGGGGAAAGATGAGAGACAGGAAGAAAATAAATAAATAAATAAATAAAAATGTGCTCCTTGAGGACCGGAAACTTGCCAGGGCGGCGTTTGGCGAAGGTGAAAAAGGGGCTCCGCTTTTCAAATTGGAATCTTTGAGACTGTCGTCGTGTCCAGACACTACTGAGAAGTTTTTTTTTCTCTCTCTCTCTAATATATATATAAATATATATATATATATATCGATGGGTGCTTGATAAGAACTGAGACATTTTGATTTCTAACATCTGGAAGAGAGAAAAAAAAGTGGCTTTTTGGAGGGTTTTTTTTGGGGGGGTTGACCTGGAAACCGACCGATAAATCATCTTTCTTCTTCTTTTTCCGGGGGATACAAAAGCCGAAACCGAGTCGACTGTCCCAGCGATTGGAAGTGACGACACACAAACACACAAACACACAAAAACGGAACTCTTGGGACCATGATTATTGTTATTAGTTTACGTTTACTTGAAAATTCAAACCAGCGTCGTGTGGATGAGCGTTACTCTCTTTCCCTCTGTGGCTTTTAATTATTTTTTAATAAGAGGACAGGTTTTTCCGTGCGTCGTTGCGAATTGACCCCCCCCCCTCCCCAATATTGTTGCGACTACTGAATATTATTGCCACGATAAACCGTTGTGTTCTTCCCCCGAAAGGCCTTTTATTTGAGCAGGGGCCAGCTCTGTGCTGTTCTGTTCCGTTATTTTATTTTAAATTTTATTTTTATTTATTTTATTCCATTCCATTATTAATCTAGTCTATTCTATTGTTCTATTCTGTTCTATTCTATTCTATATTTCTATTCTATATTTCTGTTCTATTCTTTATTCTGTTCTATTTTCTTCTATTCTGTTCTATTCTATATTCTATTCTATTCTAATTTCTATATTCTATTCCATTCTCTATTTTATTTTTGATTCTATTCTATTCTATTCTAATTGTTTTCTATTCTCTATTCTGTTCCATTCTAATTCTATTCTATTCATATTCTATTCTTCTTATTCTATTCTATTCCATATTTCCATTCTATATTTCTATTCTGTTCTATATTTCTATTCTACTCTACTCTATTATTCTATTCTAATTTCTATATTCTAATCTAATTTCTATATTCCATTCTCTATTTTATTTTTTCTATTGTATTCTATTCTAATTATGTTTTCTATTCTCTATTCTGTTCCATTCTATAATTCTATTCTATTCATATTCTATTCTTCTTATTNCTGTTCTATTTTATTCTATTCTATTCTCCCTGAGGTTCTAACATACAAAATGGCTTTGATCGTTGCTTCAGCTTTTTAAGCACAGGCTCCTCGGCTTAATGACCGCAATTCAGGTCGTCCTCGACTTAACGACCGCAATGCGATCCCCAAAGATCCTCTCACTAAGCGAGACACTCATTAAGAGAGCTCTTCCCCCCCCGCCCCGTTTTACGACTTTTCTTAAAGGAATCTGCCGGTTGGCAAAGTCGGAAAAAGGGGATCGGTCACATCTCTCTCTCTCTCTCTCTCTCTCTCTCTCTCTCTCTCTCTCTCTCTCTCTCTCTCTCTCTCTCTCTCTCTCTCTCTCTCTCTCTCTCTCTCACACACACACACACACACACAAACAAACAGAAAATACAATTCTCACACACACACACACACACAAACAGAAAATACAATTCTCCACAGAAAGATTTATAAGGAATTCCTCCCCTCTTTTCTATTGTTTTAGTGACGGATACATAAAAACGGCTTGGGTAACGGAAAGCATGATAGCTAGGGAATTCTGGGAGTTGAAGTCCATCCCTCTTAAAGGATGCCGGTTGGGGGATTCTGGCAGTTGGTGTCCACCACTTTAAAGCATGCCGCCTAGGGAATTCTGGGACTTGAAGTCCTCCCCTCTTAAAGCATGCCGGCTGGGGGATTCTGGGAGTGGAAATCCCCCCCTCTTAAAGCATGCCGGCTGGGGGATTCTGGGAGTTGAAGTCCTTGCCTCTTAAATCATCCTGGCTGGGGGATTCTGGGAGTTGGCCCTCTTAAAGCATGCCAGCTGGGGGATTCTGGGAGTTGAAGTCCTCCCCTCTTAAAGCATGCTGGCTGGGGGATTCTGGGAGTTGAAGTCCTCCCCTCTTAAAGCATGGGTGGCTGGTGGATTCTGGGAGTTGAAGTCTGCCCTCTTAAAGCAAGCTGGCTGGTGGATTCTGGGAGCTGTAGTCCACCCCTCTTAAAGCATGCCGGCTGAGGGATTCTGGGAGTTGAAGTCCTCCCTTGTTAAAGTACGTTTGCTGGGGGATTCTGGGAGTTGAAGTCCACCCCTCTTAAAGCATGTTGGATGGGGGATTCTGGGAGTTGAAGTCCACCCCTTTTAAAGCATGCCAGCTGGAGGATTCTGGGAGTTGAAGTCCTCCCCTCTTAAAGCATGCCGGCTGGGGGATTCTGGGAGTTGAAGTCCTCCCCTATTAAAGCATCCCGGCTGGGGGATTCTGGGAGTTGAAGCCCATCCCTCTTAAAGCATGCCGGCTGGGGGATTCTGGGAGTGGAAGTTCCCCCCTCTTCACATTAAATGCTAATTACGGCAGCTGGTTGCCTTGATTTCACCTTTGGGCAAAAATGAGACGGGGATTTTATAATATGCCGAGGGCTGTGAGGAATTAGAGCTATTCCTGGGATTGCAGCTGTTCATTTAGTGACCGTTAACAGTTACAACAGGACTGAAAAAAAGTGACTTAGGAATCTTTTTTCACACTTAATGACCGTCGCATTTATGACGGTCGCAGCACCCTGGGGCCGCGTGATCCAAATCCAGACGCTGGGCAACCGACTCGTATTTATGACAGTCGCAGCGTCCCGGGATCACGTGATCAAAATTCAGACGCTGGGCAACCGACTCGTATTTACGACGGTCGCAGCGTCCGGGGATCACGTGATCAAAATTCACGCTGGGCAACCGATTCGTATTTACGACGGTCGCAGCGTCCCGGTATCACGTGATCAAAATTCAGACGCTCGGCAATCGACTCGTATTTACGACGGTCGCAGCGTCCGGGGATCACGTGATCAAAATTCAGACACTCGGCAACCGACTCGTATTTATGACGGTCGCAGTGTCCCAGGGTCACATGATCAAAATCCAGACGCCCGGCAACTGACTCGTATTTATGACGGTCGCAGCATATTTACGACGGTCGCAGCGTCCCGGGGTCCCGTTTTCTCCTTTTGTGATCTTCTGACGAGCAAAATCAATGGAGACGCCGGATTCATTTAACGAACGTGTGAGTGACTTAACCGCAGTTATTCATTTAATGACGGAGGCAAGGAAGGTCGTACAATGGGGCAAGATTCACTTAACAGCGTTACTAACTTAACTGCAGGGATTCACCTAACGGAGGCGAAGAAGCTCGTCGAATGGGGCAAAACTCCCTCGACCGCTGTCTCACTTAGCGACGGAAAATTGGGGCACCCTCATAAGTCGGGGACTTAAGAAGGTCGCAACGCGCCGGGCCTCACACGACCGCCATGGGCGACCTCCCCGACTGCACGATTCACTTTAATGGCCTCGCGGCTGCCTTCACACCCCCTCGCGCTGCGACGGGAATCCTGCTTCCCAACGGAGTCGTAAATCGAGGACCGGCCGTTGGGAATCTTGCCCTTGTTTTAAATCAATTGACGGTCTTTCCGCTCTGGAAGGAGTGTGAATGTGGTTGTAATCGGAGGCTGCTTCCCATCTATATTTTATATTTTGGGGTGTAAACCCATTTAGTGGGGTCCCGTCGGAATTTATTTTATTTATTTTATTTATTTATCAAATTTATACCCCGCCCTTCTCCTAATGGACTCAGGGCGGCTTACAGCCAGTTAAAACAGATAACTAATACAATAATACTAATTTTAAAATATGATTAAAATGAAATATTCATTATTGGCCGTTTCTTTTTAAAATTATTTTAAAACCAAATTAAAATACCCCTTAGGCCAGTCCGGCTAGCTTAAATAGCCATGTCTTGAGGGCGCGGCGGAAGGAGGGGAGATCCGGGATCACCCGGATCTCTGGGGGTAGTTCGTTCCAGAGGGTGGGAGCTCCCACCGAGAAGGCCCTCCCCCTGGGGGTCGCCAGCCGGCACTGTCTGGCTGACGGCACCCTGAGGAGGCCCTCTCTGTGGGAGCGTACCGGCCGATGAGGGGTAATCTGTGGCAGAAGGCGGTCTCGGAGATAACCAGGTCCGATGCCATGGAGCGCTTTGAAGATGATGACCAACACCTTGAAGCGCACCCGGAAGGCCACCGGCAGCCAGTGCAGCTCGCGCAGCAGCGGCGTTACATGGGAGCGACGAGTCCCTCCCATCACCGCCCGCGCGGCTGCATTCTGGACTAACTGGAGCCTCCGAGTGCTCCTCAAGGGGAGCCCCATGTAGAGAGCGTTGCAGTAGTCCAGGCGGGAGGTGACAAGAGCGTGAGTAACTGTGCGCAAGGCATCCCGGTCCAGAAAAGGTCGCAACTGGCGAACCAGGCGTACCTGGTAAAACGCCCCCCTGGCCACGGCCGTCAACTGATCTTCTAGTGTCAGCCGTGGGTCCAGGAGGACACCCAGGTTGCGCACCCTCTCCGAGGGAGCCAGAGTTTCGCCCCCTATAGTCAGCGACGGAGTCAGCTGACTATGCCTGGGAGCCGGCAACCACAGCCACTCGGTCTTGGAAGGGTTGAGCCTGAGTCTGTTTCTCCCCATCCAGACCGCCCTGATGACAGTACAATGGAAGGTTAAGGTGTTTGTTTGTTTTTTTTAGGAGCGATGCCCATCTCTGATTCTAGGTTTGTTTGTTGGGAAAGGTTTTGGCCCCGAGTGAGAAACGGGAGGCTTGAACATCGTGGTGGGAAGAGAAGAGCAGGGAGGAAGAGGAGGAGGAAGGATTGTGCGGTCCCTGGTGCTCTCTGAGCTGGGTGGTTTCCTTGCAGACGTTTCATGACCCAACTAGGGAACATCATCAATGCGAGGAGGAGGAGGAGGAAGGACTGTGGGGTCCTGGGTGCTGTCTGAGCTGGGTGCTTTCCTTGCAGACGTTTCCTGACCCAACTAGGGAACGTCATCAGTGCTTGAAGGGAGGAGGAAAAGGACTGTGGGGTCCATGGTGCTCTCCGAGCTGGGTGGTTTCCTTGCAGACGTCTCGTGATCCAACTAGGGAACATCATCAATGCTAGAAGGAAGGAAGGGAGGAGGAGGAGGAAGGACTGTGGGATCCTGGGTGCTCTCTGAGCTGGGTGGTTTCCTTGCAGACGTCTCGTGACCCAACTAGGTAACGTCATCAGTGCTTGAAGGGAGGAGGAGGAGGAGGAGGGGGGAGGACTGTGGGGTCCTGGGTGCTCTCTGAGTTGGCTGTTTCCTTGCAGACGTTTCCTGACCCAACTAGGGAACGTCATCAGAGCTAGAAGGGAAAGCCCTTTTACTTTAGAATCCTACCCGGAATCACAAGGTCCTCGCATCCCTCTACAGTTTTCCTATCTCTTTAGCTTGAAGGGCGGGGACTAGTTCGCTCCTTTCCCATTGGCTCTCCGGAACGAGCCTTCTCTCTTTCCTAGTTCCTCTCTCTAGTGTTCTCATAGGAGGAGCCACTCTCTGTTTTCCTATCTCTATAGCCTCGGGGGTGTGGCGAGGCCGCGACTCTCCCATTGGCTTCC